AGCAAAGCGTGTATTCAATGTTACAAAGAAAAATCATTTGTAGAGTTTAAACTAAAGAATATAGTAGAATATAGTGAATATAGTAGTAAGGAACGGGGGATTCAGGAGCAGCCCCTCCTCTCCACTCTTCCCAAAGCGACAGGGACTGCCCCAACCAAAAAAGGGACTTCCCTAGCCAGCCCTCGTGACCCCCAAACCCAGCAACTCGGGAATTCCCCGGGGCTTCCCCGCTCCCCGAAAAAACTAGCTCTCCTCCAAAGCTTTGAGGAAAAAAATGAGATAAATAATAAAACCGTAAATATAAATAGAGACATGAATAGAGAAATTAGATCACAACGCCGCCCTATATTATCGAACTTTTGGCGATTGAAAAAAATCGTGTCTAGCCGACTTTGTCAAACGATGTAACATTCAGTTGCCTGCACCCGCTAAAAAAAAGTCACTCAAAGCCGGAGCTAAAAAAAGCCACTCAAAGCCGGAGCTCGTAAAAGCGATTCAAGCGAGCCAACTACAATTTATAAATCTAACCCGTCAATTATATCACCAGCTTTTAAAAAAGCTCGAGACAATGACATTGAATTTACGGCCACGGGCACAAAAGGCACAATTTTGCGAACAGACCTAATTACCGCGATTAAATCACACGTAAAACCGGAAGTGATTGAAGAGGTAAACATCCGAAGAATCAGACGCTTTAAAGGCAATTATGGTAATTAGGAATTGACGCCTACTTTCTTTGCCGACGATTTGATTCACTTTTTCGATTTCTATAAAAAATATATCCAAGACAAGGCATTAGCCGAGTTCAAAGATGTCGGTTCTTATAAATTGCAAACGGCCGTCAAGGTCAAGTTTAAAATGGAAAAGCCAGGAGCCGAGATTAAACTAGGCGTTTTCACATTTACGAGTAAAACAACGTAGTCATTTCACAACAAATCAAAGAATCGTTAAACCAACAAATCGTAAAACATCTAGAGGACGTGGAAGCTCACGAACAGAGGGGCCCGGGCTGGGTATTTTACAAAGTCGTCGCATTTAACATCAACGTGGTAAAATATAACCCAGTAGAAGCTACTTACATTCCACTTCCAAAATATTTAGCAGACAAGAAAGCAATAATTAACGTCCAACACAAAGAAGATCAAGAGTGCATTCGCTGGGCGTTGAGAGCTGCTTTAAAATTATGTTCAGACGAAGTCAAACATCAGCTAGAAACCAACCCAAAATTATAAGATAACGAGCGCACCTCGACGTACACTAAAGAAGACGATTAAATTTCACAAAAGTGGACTTTCCAACACCCTTCTCGCAAATTCCACGCATTGAATCACAAAACAATTTAGCCATCAACGTATTTGGCTACGCGGATGAAGAAGGCATTTATATACTTTACAAAACTAAAAGCATTGACGAGCCCATCCATTTACTTTATTTTACTAGAGGTGAAACGAGTCACTACTGCTGGGTCAAGAATTCTTTTCGGTTGGTGTGTGACGTCACCCAACATAAAGCTGAATTACATTGGTGCTTCAAATGCCTTTAAACGAAAGAAAGACTCGGCAGACGTCAAGAAGATTACCAAGGGATGGAAACGGCGCCTTGTCAAGTAGAGTTACGCGTAAAAGGCAAAAACATTCTCAAATTTGAAAACTATAAAAACAAGTAGGACGCCCCCTTCGTAATCTACGCAGAGTTCGAATCTGTTTTAGAGCGCCTCCCACCAAAAGAATTAAACACGGTTAAAACACAAATTCACAAGCCTTCCGGCTATTCATACGCAGTAATGAGATGCGACAGCACTTGCACGAGTCGCGAAACTTACAGAGGCCAAGACGCAGCCGTTAAATTTGTGCAGTCGCTGTCTAGAGAAGTCGCCAAAATCAACGCAACATTTGCCGATCCAAAGCCTCTCGCTTGGTCGCACGAATTGCAAAAAATCTATGAGAAATTCAACGAATGCTGAATTTGCGAAAGTCACATTGGTAAAACCAAAGAATAACAATGCCAATGTCATATTCCGGACGAGCCGAAAACGAAAGGCGAAAAGGCCGCTTTTAGTTCCTTAAAACGAACGAGGTTTCAGAGACTACATTTGCATGACTTGCGAAAAGCTCATCAACAAGTTTCGCTAAGTTCGCGAGATCGTTGCCACGTAACGGGCAAGTATCGAGGGCCTGCGCACGCCCATTGCAATCTAAAACTAAGAGTAGTCCCAAAGCGTCTATATACGATTTGTTGAATATTGCCGAGGTTAATAAGATTCCTGGATTACTTGTTTCTGTTGATTTTGAAAAGGCGTTCGATTCTGTGTCACATGAGTTTATATACAAGGTGCTAGACAAATTTAATTTTGGTCCTATAAAGAGCTGGATTAGTACATTTCATAACCAGGCGACATCTTCAGTTCTAGTGAATGGTTTCATGTCTGAATCCTTCAAAATCAAAAGGGGTTGTAGACAAGGTGATGGCCTTAGCCCTTATTTATTTCTTTTATACGCTGAGGTTTTTGCTATGATGGTGTCTACCCACAAGGATCTCAAAGTTATTGAGATAGACGGTAGAGAATTTAAAATTTCCCAGTATGCAGATGATACGGCTCTGTTCCTTGACGAGTCAGAAAAATCTATGAATGTTGCATTTAAAATGCTAGATACCTTTGCCGACTCATCAGGATTGAATGTTAACATTGATTAAACGAAAGTGANTTTGGATCGGTTCGAAAAAGGGTAGTAGAGAGAAGCTCTGTGAAGAGATTAAGATGCACTGGGTACGCGTAGAGGAAACATTTAAAATTCTTGGTATTGTATTCTCTACAGATCTACATTCGATGGTTTTACTGAATTACAATAATGTTGTTTTATCCTTACGTAATTTGATTACAAAATGGTCGAAAAGGATTACCGTAGTCAAATCTTTGCTTTTGTCTAAGCTTACGTTTCTCCTCTTAAGCATTCCTGATCCACCTCACTATATTGTCAATGAATTAAATACGATGTTGTTCAAATTTATTTGAAGGGGCACTGACCGGATTAGTAGAAATCAAATGGTACACGATTACAGCCAGGGTGGGCTCCAAATGGTTGATGTTAGGGATTACATGACCACTCTGAAGATTACCTGGCTCCGCAGACTCCTGGTTGCAGACAGTAACTGTGGTTGGGCATTTCTGTGCCATAAAATAATTGGAGCGCCGTCCATGGACTCGTTGGAAGGAGGTTTATTGAATTCTCTTCTTATTAACGGAGATTTGATTGCTGGGAACCGCTTTTGGATGGACGTTCTCACAGCTTGGTCAAAATTTACTAAGGCTCACACCCCCACGCCTATTAAAGATTCTTTGGTCAACACTCTTTGGCACAACGAAAAAAATCAAAGTGGGAAAGAAATGCATCTATTACAAGCATTGGGAGTCTGCAGGCATCAGTTTTATTTTTGATCTTTTCAATGAAAACGGTAAATTTCTCTCATGTGATGAATTTAAGGCAAAGTTTAATGTAAGAACCATTTTTTGGAATACGGAGGTGTAATTATGGCTGTTTAGAAAGCATTTCCAATTTTATTGAATTTTGAAAAAGATGTTGTCCAATTTCCTGTTATACCGTTTAATTTAGGTACCCTCTTGAGGGATAAAAAGGCTCTAGGAGAATGCTTTCGGTGCTTACCTCCAGTAAGAAAATTACTCGCACGTTTACAACAAAGTGGAATAGTAAGCTTCAAATAGATTACGACTTCTCCAAAGGGTCCTCCATTTTTAACATTCCCTTCAAATGTACCGTGGATACCAGGTTACGATGGTTCCAATACAGATTAATCCATATAATTCTTAGTACAAATAGCTTCTTGTTTAAAATCAAAAAGTCTACCATGAAACTGTGTACTTTTTGCAAAACTGAAGAGGAAACCCTTATTCATTTATTTTGTCCATGTGTTTATACACTTTTTTTGGTCTGCAGTAGCCTCTTGGATCAGGGCAAAGACTAATTATCGTATCAACTTAGACAATAGAGCATTTTTGTTTGGTGGAGCTGATTTTGAAGATTAAGTCGTAAACCTAATTTTATTAATTTGCCGCTTTCATATCTATAAAATGAAAATGAGCGAGAAAGTGCCTTCCCTTCCTGTTCTCCAAAAAGACCTGAAGAAATACTTTTCTGTCGACAGATATATTTCTATGTGCAACAATAACGTCGGGTTATTCTATCGTAAATGGGATTCCTTCTTGGTACTTTTTGACTGATTGTTTTTATGATTTGCATATTTTTACAAATCGATGTTCATTTGCCAAACACAGGTATGAAAACATGATGTTGAAAATCAGAAGTCTTTCCTAGAATAAAAAAAATATTAAAAAAAAAAAAAGAAAATGGGGTTGTCCTCTTTTGGAGCATCAAATAAAATTTGCGAGTGGGAATTTGAAGTTTTTAGTTGTCCACTTTTGACGCGCCACGAGAGTTGTTAAAGTAAAATCCAAATTTCTGCTAGCGGAAAGTTGCGTTTTCTGAAAATGCTATACTCAAAGTCCAAATCCCGAAAATCTGCCAGTAGAAAATGGGGTTGTCCACTTTTGACGCTCCATAAATGCACATCACTACACATGTAAGGAGGGAGCTGTACAAGTCGAAAACACGTAAAATAAAAACTTACTGTTCTCGTCAACAGGACTTATTGCCCAAATGAGATTCATTCCACGCCTTATTTTTGTTTTTCCGAACATAGTTTTTGGTGGTGGCAGGCTCAGGAAAACTGGAGAAATATGTCATTTTCACCTCAAAAACTAGTGATTTTTGCATTTGTATCAATTACATTCGCAGTAGACTTCGCCGATCAAATCCAAAATAAGGCAAGAGATATCGTTCGGTTTGAAATTATACTTTCACAAATTAAATTGGAAGGTCTGAAATTGAAGTCAGTTGCAAAGAAATACGAAAAACGTCAATTTAGAGATGATGATACCTGATACATTCTGAGCTTAAAAGAGCGATCACTGGGCAGCCATCTTCAGTTCGCACGGGCGCGAAAGAATTTGGTGTGCATGCGCACAGACTAAATGTACCGCTGAAACATACGTGACGTACGTCAATACGTCAGGGCTATCTTGCACGTGCTAGTTGCGCAGAAACTGCTCCAGATCCCGCGAATCAGATCAGAACTTAAATAGAACTCCAGACTGTTATGTTACACCCTACATGTACTATGTACACATCTTCAGTGTGTCACTGGTGAGCCGCATCTGTCTGAAAATAAAATAGGACAAAGCCTAGTCTTCAAAAGAGTTGACGTCACACGGTATTTCGTATGGTAAGACTGTATTATTTTATTAAACAATTTTACACTGGAGTCATTTTGATTTCGCCGAACCGTCGTTGACGAAGGAAATTCTTCCTCCATGGCCGAACGTAGGCCTACTTGTGCTGCACCCAAGAACAGCGGGTTCGACGTCCGCCGCGCTGCCACAAACTTCGGAGCTCAGCGGATGTCGAACCTACAATTGTGGACCGATGTGAAGTTAGTTACTTGATCGGACTCGTTCGACATTTAGTACTGAAAACAAGTAACCAGTTTTATGTTCAGTGTTGAGTAAGTAACAGTTTAACATTCGGTAAGCATGGCGTGCGATCAGGATGCACACCCCTAATACAGCCCTTCCTTGCATTCTGGTTGCAACAGGAACAATAAAGTGCAAAAAGAACAAAAAACAAGCTGCGCCACCATACACATCCATTCACATACATACCTTATTTACAATGAACATGCCATTTCCCTGTGATGAACATGTATACTTGCACAACTGTCTCTCACAGCGGCAAACTGGGGAATGGGGCTTTTGAGGGTCAAACAAACCCTCAAATTCATATGTAGGTTATGGTTTTTACAACAACAGCGGGAAAAAAACAGTCGGTTATGGAGGAAGGAACACATGGTTATACCTGCTGTTTTCATCAAAAGTTTTTCAGTAAATCAAATTACTATACGTCAAACCCAGGCCTTGGGAGAACCTTACTTTCTAAGTGTTTCTGAACTCACTAGTGACCCCACTGCCTCCATTTCAAGTTCAACCAGGGCAATGCAGTTGACTTAAGTTGTGTCGGTGGAGTTCTTTGCTTGCCAAAGTAAATGCATCATTTGCACTTTTCTAAAATAGAAATAAATACCCAAACCCCATGCCCCACCTCATGATTACAATGAAGCTGATTTCATTGTGCTCAATCACTGAGGACACCTTGTAACCCAGAGCATGGGTTTTTAGGGGTCAAACAAGCCCTCAGGGGTGGGTGACCTTTTTTACACCAACATACATGTAATTTTTTGAGAGAAAAATGGTCAGTTATACATGTATCTGCTGTTTTTATTGAAACTTTTCAATCGACATAATATACTTCAACCCCACGCCATGTGATGAGCTTACTTCTTTCGAACATACAGTAAATTAAACAAATTCCACGTTTACGATCAGTACGACATAATTCTTCATTCAATATTGTCACAAATTGTATACTATATACGTCAAGAACTGGATGAAACAAGGTCTATACGTTGGCAAATTAAATTGTATACTTACCCTAGGCCTGTAGGCTGTTCTTAGGAAAAACAAATTGTAGGCTATTTTTATTGTCGCATCTTTTATGAAGTGTCGATTCAGTTCCCCAATTTTATCTTTTGGATTGGTTAGAATTACCAGTGACTAAATTCATTGTATAGTACTTGAACATTCCAATGTTCTTGAAAAGAATTCGAACTTAACTGTTTATAAATTTGTTGATGAATCTTTTGTTTATGAATTTGAATGGAAGAGTTTGAAATGGCAGGAAACCTGTAGTATGAACTAATGAATTTGAAATTTGTTGTTTTGAAATTTGTTTGGGAAACTGCATGAGGAAAGTTGGGAGGAATTTCACCAATGTTGTAGTTGAGTACTTTCCGAGTACCAAGTTCTCTGCGACATGTTTAACTAGTTAGTAGGGAACAAAGCTGAAGTACATGGGCATTTGATGGTACATGTACATGCACAGAGGTAGGATTACAAAATACAATGATGACTTCAGGCCATCACTGGTGAATAAAAATTTAGGTTTTAGGACAAAAGTACTTGGCTTAGTACTTTCTAAGTACTTATCTCCTTGGAACTTAAATATCACAAAACTGGGATAGTGTGAAGTCTTATACATGTATTTAGTTTGTGATCTTACAAATGTTGTGCATTTACCATCAAATGCCTGTGTACTCCCGCTTTATTCAGTTTAAGTACTCTACTACAATACTGAATACATTGAATATTCATATTTCTTAATGTGTGTAATGTCTTAGGAACCTGTATGAGGTTCTTCTTGATTAATGATAATTCCACTGATATTTTGTACGGCATAACTGGCCTATTCTCGTGTTTATATACATGTATGCTTTGGGTTACGTGTGTTTTGCTGCAGTAAGGCACTAAAGGCATAAAATTAAGCAGTGTCAGGGGCCATGCCACATTAGACTACATTATCTATAATTTACCAACGCAGGATTGAAAAATGTTCCCGGGTAGGCATGGTGTGGTCCGAGTTAGGGGTAGGTCAGAGTTTGTTATGGGTCCTCCTTGATTTTCGTCTGAGTTGACTGGAAACCAGCCTGCCTGGGATTTAAAAGGGGACAGCTTCCTTTGCTAGAAAATTCTGAGAAAGTTATTGGGACAAAAATTTGTCCTATAGCATTTTTGGTCCTCACAAAATGAGTGTACACATAATCCCACAACTACAGTGTGTGTTTGTCAGGATTATCTTTGGTAGAGCAGTAACTTGAGTATGAACAACATATTTGGTTTGTGGATTGTTTTCGGTCCCAACTAAAAAGCATTTGGGCCCAAATTTCATGGTCATAATACAGGGTAGCTAAAGGGTCATTCTATAAATTTGGGGTCTGACATGACATTTTTCTGTCCCTGTTACCCCCTTTGACGTATACTTTGACAACTGATATACACGTACTGTATCACTGAATTGATTTCAAACTAGTTTTATTAGTTTGGCAGGTAATTTGCAGTACTTATTAAATCTTGAAAATGAAACAGTTCTAAACATTAAAAAATCATGTTATACACTCGCGTGTATAATGCATGCTGTACATTTAGCACCTTTTAGCACCTTTCCATACCAGGGAAATGCGTACTCAAACTGCAAAATACCCTTGTGTCTGGGTATAAGGGCCCACTAGTTGTTGCATGTGCGGCGCAGCGCAGATTTGATGGCTGGAAAGCGCAGCTCGATGACTGTTTTGTGACTTCAATATGAATGAATTTTACCTGGCACGTGTTTGTGTACTTTGTGTATTATATTTTGTGCATTAAAATAGCTGAGATAAATAGAATAGATAAATAAAATAGTTTAGAAGTAGCCATTGTCTGAACTTGTACGAACACATTGGGGTGATGTACATGTGTATTCATGTCATATTGTGGCGTGATTGGTTGAAGGAAGGAACTTACTGTTCTGTTGATGTTTACAGGTGAGAGGGTGGCACTCTGCCAGGTGCTTACTAAAATTCATCTTCGACCAACTTATACATGTAGATTAATTGTGTCGTTTCCAAGTGGTATCAAACATGAAAAGACGAACGAATAAATTCAAAGGAAAATCAGGTTTCTCCATAGCACAGTTTGTGCAGGAAAGAATACTTACCTGAATGGGCCTTCAGCTGCTAATCAGTCTCGACATTCACTTTGATGACTAATGTGATGCACCCACCCAGTATACGTTTATTTTGTAATTATGTGCTGTAAATTTGCACTGCGATTACATGGAAAAACATTGCTATGCAAGTTTTCTCAACTGCTGTGCAAAAATTACTTTGTATTTCAGATGCACTGTGCAAAATTTTTGCTGAAAATTATTCCCTGATGTAGACAGGTTTGTTTGTGATCTGAAATTGAAAGTTGTGAGTTTAGGCATGGGCATGGCAGGACAATTGTATTTGCTATCACATCGTTCTGCACTGTGTTGTTCTCAAACCTACATTGTGAAGATCCTAACTATGTTTTTTGTGCATTCAATAATCGAGAGTGAATTGGTGTAGTAAATGAATGGCAGTGTAGAGACGACAAATAAAGACCAAAATTTAATGAAAAGGAAAACTAAGGGATTGCAGTTTGGGAGAATTAATTAACTGCTTGTCTTGGCATAGCCAGGAATATCGGAGCTCATTGTGAACATTTTTCAGAAGCATGGGCCTGTCCAGTTTTTTTGTACTTGTAAAAGTAAAAAGGTCTAAAGATGCAGTGGTAGTCCAGCAGACTTGCTGTAGTCTGAGGCCAGCATTTTTTAGCCACGAAGTATTTTACATACATGTACAATGTACATATTAAATTTAATGTACTAATGTTTAATGCAGGCATGGCAGCTAACAACATTTCATCAGCAAATACCAGTGGCTTTTCTGCTCGTTTGATGATTGGCAAGGGAGCCGACACCATGCCAGGGTCTCTTGGACTGCGAAGCCCAAAGAAAATGCACAGTATGGGCAACATTCTGGAAATAGAGGTATGAAATTTGAGACGCCATATACTTTTCTAGGCAACACATGGTAAGTCCATGATTCCATGTACTGTGCCAAACTGCCGTACTTCCTTATATTCCCATACTGACCGAAATTGCCAAGGCATTGAATGGGTTCATTAGAGAATAACCATTGAAGCATATTAGAATGAAGATAAGTTCATGATTACCATGTTCAGCATGTAGTTGTATAAGGATATCTCTTTAGCTTGTCTTTCCTTTACATCACATACTGGTATTTTGTGTGAAAAATCTCCAAGTTCGCTCTGTGATAAGTGTGTGTAGTCAGTTTGTGCACTTATTAGCCACCTTTAGTTTGGCACTAGCTTTTTAGGTGCATAGGAAATGTACATGTAGGCATAGTAGTTCCGTTCTGTCCAACTTTTGTCTCAGCCTCTGAAGGAACAGCACCTACAGTCTGAATCTTCTACGGAATTTTTGCACTTATTTTATGGGAGATTGGTGAATTGTCCCATACGGTGTTGAAATAAATTGAGATAAACATCATTTCGGTTTTCTGAAGCTTGGTGCAGGAGTCATAGGAGTTAAGATTTTCTGCAAGGATCTTCCAGCCCCGGACTGGACTGTAATAGTTGAATAGAAGGAGTTCGAACTTTCTGCAAGGATCCTCAGGCCCTGACTTATGCTGATTATTTTACCGGACTATCTCCCGGTCATCCAGTTAGGATTCCTGGTGAGACTTTCATCTCCTCCTTTAGAATGGAAGAGTGGGCCAGTGTTCATTTCGAGTTCGGACCACTGGAAGTGCTTTACATTTGCTCAATTTTTGAGCATCCTTGATGACTGGATGATGCCGCCTCCAATAGGAACGCAGTCCTGCTCTCTCATGGGGAATGATAGATACTGAGCTATGGTGAATACTGAGTGAGGGGCATGAACATACTCTGTGTCAAATTCTAGAGAGGGGCTTCTCACACGTTTTTTTGCTACAATATAAGGGTTCCAGGCAAATCTAAGAGGCAGGTTGTCTACCTTTGGCCTTTGCTCACCTCACATAGTTAGAGAAAAGCTCCAAAAGGAAATAGACCTCAATAGAATTGCTGGTCCATTCCCAACCCCACCTGTCCCAACATTACAGTGCTCACCTATCGGTTCAGTACCTAAAAAAGAACCTAATAATTTCAGGCATATCCACCATCTTTCCATTCCTGAAGGGCAATCAAGGAAAAATTTTGAGAAGCAAAATTGCACAGTGCATTATGCCTCGTTTAAAGCGGCATTGCACTTAGTGATGGCAGTGGGACACAGGGCATGGTTGGCAAAATGAGGCACTGCACTTAGTGATGGCATGCAGTGGGACATAGGTTGGCAAAATCTTTTAGGTTTTACATTTGAGGGTCAGTATTATGACAGATGTTTGCCATTGAGATGTTCCATTCGGTGTTCCCCTCTTTGAGAAATTCCGCATTTTTCATGAGTTCAAAGTGAAAGAGATGGCAGACAGTTTGATGATCACTCACTATATTGATGATTTCTTATTTGTCGGACCCAGTTCAGATTTTCGTAAGGCACTCTTGAAGGTATTTGAAATAGTAGGTCCTATGCGTAGTGGGACCGAATTCCTCAAACATTTCCATGGGATTTCCCTGCATTTGGTAAAAAGTGGCAAACTAACTTGTCCAAGTTTCAATCGTACATAGATGCAGCATTTGGTATGGTGCATGCTTTGGTTTCCAGTGGGTTCAAGGTAGATGGCCACCAGAACTTCAACAAATACAAGCGTCCATTGCCTTATTGGAATTTTATCCTATCCTGGATGCAATCAAGTGTTGGGGATGTGTACTGTCCAATCAAGTGCTATTTCACTGTGATAATCAAGCAGTTGTTCACATCATTAACCAGCAAACATGCCCCAGAATAATTAATGCATCTTTTGCGGCTCTTTGTATTGGAATGTTTACACTTCAATGTTCAGTTTAAAGCGGCACAAGAAATGAAATTGCTGATGCTCTGTCCCATTTCCAGACCAAACGGTTCCGAGCAGCACTTCCTGGGACAGCCAGCATGATGACAACATTACCCATCCTTCCTCAAATCTGTTGGGCTGAGATGACATGTTGCTGTTAGCTGCTTTCTCACCCCACACTCACAGGGCATATACATCATGTTGAAATGCATTTTAGATTCAAAAAGAACTACACTGTACACGTAAACTTACCAGCTTCTGTTACAGAAATTGGAGAGTTTATTTCGTGATTATCCTTATTAGGTGTAGCCGGAGCACTGTTACAACTGACTTCTCTGGGTTTGGCTATCATCTTAAATTCGCGGTTGGTCAGACCTTCCAAAGATTTAATTGTTTCTAAACTCAAGGAAGGCTGTCGCAGGAGCCACAACTCAGGTGGTAAACGTTTGCTCATGTCTTTGCCACTTCCTGCCCAAAGTACTGAGGCAAGTCCACATATATGCTTCTCACAATTTAAAGTTAACCTCTTTAAAGCTACTGTGGTGTGTGCAGTTTATGGCTTTATATATTTCAGTGAATTCAAGATATACAGTAGGTTACAGGAATACCTATTTACGGCTATCTGACATTGAATTCTGCAATCAGGGGTCCCCGTTCATTTATGTTGATTTCCTTTCCATAAAGTTTTGTTCTACCAACTAACATTCAATGAATAGGACATTGGCAGTGCCACACAGTATTGACCTACATGTAGTTGTAGGTTTAATGGCATATATGGCAGTCCAGTACCCTTTATGCCATTAGCTGATATGGGAAAGCATAACAATACGTTAGAGAAGAAACTAAAACTCAGACAGTGATAACAAGGATGCATGAGAGCAAGCAAAAAAAAGGCAAGAAAGACGAGATGACTAGCATTAGAAAAGAAAGTAAACATGGTATTGGTAGCATGGAAGCAGAAGTGGAGGAAGCACCAATGATCCTCCAGACATACATGTACAGTATTGCTGGTGCCCTGCAAGGTCGGACCGTGTACCTTGCAGTTTAAGGGCCCAGGCCCCGCCGGGTTCTTCGCAGGTCGGCAACACTTTCAGGTGGTGATGCGCAACACTGAGTCCAACCAACCATCGACACTTCCCTCTCCTGCTCTTGTGCAATATCTACTGAATCAAGAGACATTATCAAGGTGACAAAAGGAGTTAAGATGCTAACATTACAGTTATGGATGTATTGGAAAATTTGGTGACAAAATTGTTTTTGTCCCAGTAAATGTTTGAGGATCATTTCAGAGTCTGTTAAACCAAGTGTTGTTTGGAGGGATTTTCTTTGGGAAGTGAATTTTTTACATTTGAGCATAAGATATTCGATGTCATCCGTAGTGCTGCAAGCATAACATAGGCAATCAGGGCATTTGCCAATGTTGTGGAGGAAAGTTTGCAGACCTCTTCATAAGCCTAGGCCTTTCACCCTTTAACCCTTTCACGGTGGGATTATTTTGACTGTGACTGCTAGGCACCTATCTCCAGTTGAGACTAAGGTCCTCTCATTGGGTGAGAACTTTGCCCTAGTACCTAAGTCCTCACCGGTAAAGGAGATCATTCAAGCTACTGAACCAGCTCTACGCCACCTGGCCAAGTCTGCTGCAGACGATGTCAGACTCCAGATCAGCCAAGCCCTCAGGTACCACAAGCCTGCCAAGCCCAACATCACCAAGCAAGAACACTCAGCCCTCATCAGCCTACGTCGAGACAAGTCCATCCACATCTTGACTGCTGACAAAGGCAATGCCACAGTCATAATGAACAAGGCCGACTACGACAAGAAGGTGTGGGACATCCTGAAGTCTATACGAAAGCGAATAAATGGTAAACTACTTGCACTCCAGCGTTCTGGGCATGTTCCCATGACCCTGTACT